CATTACTGAGATAACTCTTATTATCATTACTGATTTGCATGTTCTGTTTGCTAGCAGCATTTTGAAATTTCTTGCAGTTTTAAAACTTCGAAAAATTTGAAGTCCTTAAAATTAAAAAGAAAAGATTGCTCATATAGTATCAAAAAATATCGTATCATTTGGTTTGTTGCAGTGTAACTATCATATAGTATCATTTGGTTTGTTACAGTGTAGCTACCAAAATGATAACTTTTATCAATTATCAATGAAATTATCAATTCCATTATAAATAATCAAAATTTTAATGATATCATTCATTATTATCAATTTCTTTATTAATTTTTATTATCATTTATTTTATCATTGTAAATTATCGTTATCATTATTTTAGCTATTTGTCTTATATATTATTCCTACGATAAAATTAAATTTAAATTTATTTGAAAATTTCGCGCCAATAATTATCGGTTAAACAAAAGGCATAATTTAAAAATTTCAGAAATTTTCATCTTCAATCTGCAACTTTTTACTACAACAACAACAACAACAACAACAACAACAACAACAACAACAACAACAACTACTACTACTACTACTACTACTACTGCTACTTATACTTCTGCTACTATCGCTGATGTAAAAATATTTAATGAAATGAATCATTTCAATTCATTCGATATAAAATGCTGATTTTTGCTTGCTGATTTATGACAGAAAAATTCATTCTAATTTTTATGATACAAATATTTTTTTCGTCTCATCAACTCTGACAATCGTATCATCTGATAATCTCATATTCATCAGAATATATGAAAAGAAGAAAAATTTCGATTTGAAGTATCATTCGAGCTATATAATTACTTTCTACATCTTTTTGGTGGAATTTCGAGTGAGCTTTAATCTCCTATTTCTTCTTTTTTTCCGCCTTATCTTTTATGCAATTTTTATGAATTTGAATTTTTTAAAATTTTTAAACTAAAATATTTTAAAAAAGAATAAAGCTAAAGGATGATAAAGAAGTTGTAATTATTTATTTGAAATGATATGATCGATCGATATTACAATATCTTTTATAATTAAATAATTGTTTAATTTTCAATAGAAATGAATTTATGCAGGATGATATGGATTAATTTAAAAAATTAAAAATAGATGGAGCGATATTTCCCGGGATAATATTTGCGACGTTTTATTCTGTAATATCATTTTTTTACTTCTTCTTAAAAAAGATGGAACGATATTTCCCGGGATAATATTTGTGGAGTTTTTCTAAGTAATATCATTTTTTTATTCTTAAAAAAGATGGAACGATATTTCCCGGGATAATATTTGCGAAATTTTCTTTTTGTTTTTTGTTTTTTATGAAATGAAATTATTCAATAAACTTATACTGTTGAGAGATATTTTGTAATGAAAATTTAAACATTTTCAACGATTTGTAGAAATTCATATTAAAATAATTTTTTTACTTCAAATTTTAATCGTTCCATTTTTCATTTTCCTTCTGAACAAAATCAATTTCTGAGTCATTTTATTTTTGATGCAAAGAATTCTAAAAATTTAAAATAATTTCGAAGTTTGTGAATGAATCAATAAATGCACTTTTGTACTGAAATATTTTAATAGTGTACGTCATTGTTGAAAATCTTACATTCTTCACTTCAAATATCTCAACTAACGATGGTAATAAGAGATTTCATCGAGAGCATATAGAGTATAAATTGAATCATAAATCACCGCTAGGCACACAGTTATTGAGAAGTTATTTGAAATCTTAAATTGAATGCATTCAAAAATTTCAATCTCTTTTAACGGACCACTTTCCCTCTTTCCGTATAAATAATATGTAGTAGATAGATTTATTTTTTACTAAAGAAAGGATTAAAGTTTTGAATTAGTTCCAAATTTTTAATTTAATTAACAGTAAAGTGTTAATTAACAAATTATGCACCAACTAATTACTTGTAATTTTAAATTATGCATTAATTAATTAACTTTTTCGAAGAGTTATTCAGTATTTCTTCTACTTTTTTTCAATATATTTTAATCAGATATTGCAAGTTTATTTGCCTGATATAGTTTAATATTTCTATAAGAAGAAATCTTTACTTGAATTGTTGTCACCTATTGCTAGAATTCAATTTAGTAATGAAATTTTAACTTGAAACTTGATTTGTCATTTTACAACTAAATGTTATCGTTTGCATTTTTATTAATTTGAATATGGCTGAAGGTCAGATGAACGGCACATTTTGGTAATCGTCGAACTATTTGCTGCTCCAATGATGTCAAAACCGGTATTTGAAAAGTCTCAATGATGCTGAGAGAGAGAGAGATATCAAACATACAATTATTGAGCGAATGATTGTAAATGTCTTTTGGCTTCAAATTTTAGGCTAATGTTTATTTTCGAAATTAGAATTTCTTATTTTCGATATTTTTTAATTTCGAATTAGAATTTCTTATTTTCGATACTTCTTTGTTCACAATATTTCTGTTTGAAAGAAAAAATTTAACAGTATCATATCGATTGCAGCAAATGATTGTTTTATTTGTATATTTAACTTACAGTATCATTGATTTTATTGAACGATGAAATATAACGATTCAATACTAATGGATTTTTTTGAACTAAAATATAAGTAATCTTCAATGTATTGATTTTGTATAGTAAACAGAATCAATCAATATTGCTATCATTTAACGTTGAAATCATTCTTTGAAGATTATCATACGGCATTAATATTCATTCATATATTATTTCATTAATTCATATATTAATTCATATATTAATATTCATAGAAAAGCTTATATAATTTTTAAATATTTAAAGTAAATTTTTTTGCTATAAGAAAAATGAAATGAGGTTGTAGAATATGGAACAAAAAGTTGCAAATGTAATTTTTGCGCAAAACAAAAAGTTGCAAATGTAATTTTTGCGCAAAACAAAAAGTTGCAAATGTAATTTTTGCGCTCATCTAGTCATTTGTGCAATCAGTTTATCAATTTGTACAATTTTATTTATATTTATATTTGTATTTAAATTTGTATTTGTATTTATCTGTATTAATTTTATTTATCAATTTGTACAATCAGTTTATCAATCAATTTATCAATGATTATACAGTCATTGATAAACTTTTCATTGCTTATATTTAAAAAATAAAAAACATATTTCTCAATATTTATCAAAAATATTGAAATATTTGAAGATGATGTAAATGATAATGATATTTTCTGTTTCCTTCTTCTTAGACGAATAATATTTCCGTAAAACGGAACATTTACGGATTTCTAGACCAATGAAACCGGAATATTTCAAATTGTTACTATTTTTCTTTTAGAGAGCGATACAATTATTTTAATTTTTATTGTTGCAATATTAAATAGGATTTTTTTATTTGTTATCGTTATTGTTAGTGCTATTTAATGTTTTAATTTTAAATGTGTAGTTACTAATTATGTCATCGCTATTTAATGTTTTTTTATTACTTCTTATTGTCGCAATATTAACTATAAACTTTTATTGTTATTGCTATTTAATGTTTCTTTTAATTCTTACTGTTGCAATAATAACCATAATCTTTTATTATTATTGTTATTGTCAGTGTTATTTAATGTCTCCAATTTAATTCTTATTGTTGCAACTATAAGCTATTATTTATTGTTATTCTTACTGAATGTTGTTGCTATTCTAATTGTCGATGCAAATGTTTCATTTAATGAGCCGAAAATTCTTATTGTAGTTAGAAAATATTTTACATTGTAGAAAAGTGTGCATGAAATTTAAATCATTTTTTTTTCCACTCATATTTCAGAAACAATCCTACTGTAAATCAACGTCCATCAATAATATCAGTTAAAGCAGAGACATTGAACAGATCAATCAGTGATATCAAAGACGCTACGGCCAACAACAGTTACCGTAAATTGATGCTTTCTTTTTAGATATGTATGTATGTGTGTATGTGTGTATGTGTGTGTGTGTGTGTATGTGTGTGTGTGTGCATGTATGTGTATATATGTATATATATGGAGGACTATATGAACCGGTTTTTGAATAACATTTTTGGTTCCTTGCGATTTTTAGACAGATGTGTTACGGAGAGGACAAACGGGTGACACCCGTAATGAACAAATTTCAATAATTTTAATTTCGTCTTTTTTTTGCATAAAAAATTGTTCTATTTTTGTTTTCTGTTAATTATTATCAATTCGTAATCATTGCTAAACTATGCTAACGATTAATTATTAATTTAAATAAACAATTAACGATTAATTAAGTTAGTTTAAAATTTGAAAACGAAATTTTTAGTTATTAATTTAATAAACGTAGAAAGTTTCTTATCTTTGTTTCCTTTTATAATTCATCTTTTTAATTAAAATCAAAAGTTTGTTTGTTTTTGCATTTTAATTTCATTTATCTTTCATTAATTCTATATTATTCTATGCAAATCTAACGCTTCATATTTCTTCCAAAAATAGATGGAACGGTATTTCCCGGGATGATATTTGTGGAGTTCCTTTTAAGCAATATCATTTTTTTATTTCCTCCAAAAAATGATGGAACAATATTTCCCGGGAATATATTTGCGAACTTTTTAGTAATATCATTTGTTTTCTTCTAAAAATAGATTGGAACGATATTTCCCGGGATAATATTTGCGAAGTTTTTTTAGTAACATCATTCTTTTTATTTCTTCTGAAGAAAGATGAAACGATATTTCCCGGTTTAGTATTTGTGAAGTTTTCTCTTTGTTTTTTGCCTTTATGAAATGAAATCATTCAATAAACTTGTACTGTCGATATATTCTGTAAATGATTTATAATTAATAATTAATTAATTAATTATATTTTAATTATGATAAAAGAAGAAAAAAATAGTAGAAAGCAAATATAATTTTAAAAAAAGAGATGCTTAAATAATTTTAAAATTACAATATATTGTTGAAATTAAAAATTGATTTTTTTCTTTGCTTAAAAATTTTTTAAATGATGTTGAAAATTTGCAGTGAATTAAGATGGGAAGTACAACAGTACAAAAGGGATTATTAGCAATAAGCATTATGTTGATTGTTCTTGGTCTTGGATTTACATTTGCTGGAGTATTTTCACCTGCTTGGCAAGTTGTTGATATTCGTGAATTTCGAGCCGAACATCAAGTAAACATTCTTTTTTTTTGTCTTTGCTGATTAATTATATTAATAGTTTAATTTTTAAAATGGAAGAGAAGAAAAATTAAAATAATCATTTATAAAAGTACTTTGCAATTAGTTAATTTCATTGTTAATATTTCAACAGAAATTTATAATTTGCAATTAGTTAATTTGAAAATTAATATTTCAACAGAAATTTGAAAAATTTACAAAGTAAAAGAAAATTTGAATTATATGTAATATACATAAATTTTATTTGAAAATAAACAATGATTATTCGAACTAATTAGATGATACCGCGGATATTGTAAGAGTGATAAAGATTGTCATAATTGAAGTTAGAGTAGTAAAAGTTTATCATAATGAAAACTAGATTGATAAAAGGCTGTCATAATTAAAGCTAGAGTGATAAAAGGATGTTATAATCTAAGTTAGAGTGATAAAAGATTGCCATAATTTAGGCTAGAATGATAAAAGCAGTTATTTTATTACAGTAATCACATTTTGAATTACATCTAAATTCGTCAGATTGTCATCAATTTTTTACTGTTTATCTAAGCTGAATACTTTTATCATTCCAACTTCAAATTATGCATGTTAACTGCATAAATTAAATTTCATTAATTAATTAGCATACTAATTAAGCATGGTCTTTGGTGGGATTGTACACGAGCGGAGAAGCATGTCGTTGCTGTAGGTGATTTCTATGCTGAAGAACCATTACATTGCATGTATAAATTTGATCGTAGTGCAGAAATGGTCATCGAGAATACACTAAATAATATTGATGAAGATGGAGCTGCTGGTGAATCGGAACATCATCGATTTTGGGGTATGATTTCTTCTTCTAAGATTTCCTAAAAATTAAAATTTTTAATTAATTACTCAATTCGAACTCTCAAATGATATAAAAAGCATACATTGAGTATAATCAATTTTTACATTAAATAATTTAATTCATACTTTACAAATTTAATTGAAATTTAAATCAATTAATACAATAATAATTTTAGAAAAGCAGTTGATACAGTAATAATTTTATCCAATCAATTAATACAGTGATAATTTTATCAAATCAGTTGATACAGTAATAGTTTTATCAAGTCAATTAATACAGCAATAATTTTTTCAAATCAATTAATACAGTAATAATTTTATCAAATCAATTAATACAGTAATAAATGTGTCAAACCAATTAATGCAACTTTTTTAATTTTATTAATTTCAAATAACTTCTATATTCAATATATAGCTAATGATTTTGTTCATTTTTTTGATTTCCTATTAAACTTAGTGAAAATATACACAAATGTGGTAATTTCTGCAATTTTTATCAAATAATTATGTAGCAAAAAATTTTTGTAATAGTTATATATTCGATACATAAGTTATTTGAAATCAATAAACTTATTGTTTTATTAATTAATTTAATGAGTATATCATTTCAGCATGGCATAAAGCAATACTATTTTTTATTCTTTTTTCACAATTTCTTGCATTTATTTCATTGTGTACCGGAGTTTGTATACCTTGTTTTCGACCTACCGCATTTATTTTCACCATTTCACTTTTCTTGGCTTGTAAGTTTTTTTTGTTTTTAATTTTAAAATTAAATTTCACTCGAACTATTTCAAAATATAAATATTGCCGAAAGTGATTTAATAATTAAATTTAATTCTAATTATTTAAAATCTGAAAAAAATGCTATAATAAATATATTTTCTAATTTTTTATTTACAATTAATTAATAGCATAAATTTGTATTTTTGAAATGGTTCTAAATAATAGTAAATAAAATTTGCGAGAAATTTCGACAACTATTAAATAGTACGTGAATTTTAATAAAATTAATTATCTAAATTTCGATAAAATTAATTATCGATTTTAGTTACCTAAACTTTGATAAAATTAATTATCATTAGCTAAAAAAAATTAATTATCTAAATTTTAATAAAATTAATTATTGTTGTTAGCTAAATTTTAATAAAATTTATTATCAATTATTAAATTATGATTATCATAGTGCTATGTTCACTGATTGCCGATGGTGTCTTCTTCCTGGCTGCAAATAGAGTGGATAATCGTTTTGTGCAAGGAATGGTTGGAAGTTATGAAGTTAGTTTGGAAATTCTATTTTATACGCTACTGATTAAAATCAACTGATAAATTCTACCCATTTAAAATTGTTTATGTGAAATTTCATTGCATCCCAAATCAAAATCACACCTGTGTTGAATTTTTTATCTAAATTATCAAATCGATCTTTAAATTTTGGAAAGAGAAATTCATTGCTTCTGAATGCAAAAATTAACAATAAGTGTTCGCTTTTAAGTGTTCGCTTCGCATATATCAGAATTGATTAGTTTTATTAATTAAATTAAAATTTTTATTTTTCAAAATTTAATACCAATTTTTGAAATTTGATTTATTTCCTCCGAATCAAAATATGTTTTCTGTATTTTAGCAACGAATTGGTTATGCATTTTATGTACATCTGATTGGTACATTATGTTGGATGGTAGCATTCGTGTTCACCTTGCTAACCACTTATAAATTTTTCACCGAACGATATTCATCACGGTATCATTTGCATATTTATAAAAATGTTTCGTAAGAATAAATTATGATTGTTATCAGAGATGGAAGTGATATAATGATGATAAGTTATCATATGTTTATCTTTAGTTCCTGAAATGAAATTCAATGAAATGAATTCAAATTTAGTTTTGAATAAAATTTCTAGCTTCATCCATATCATTGAGATGTTGGGATGAATGCTATTAGTTAAATTAAGATGTTTAATTATAAAATCTAACAATTATTTCTGATCTTACATTTAACAAATTGATTAGTTACCTTTTAATAAGATGATCAAATGGAATTTGATAATGTTTTTATCAACTTTATCATCCTCTCTTATCTTATCATGACATTTTTAAAGTCACACTTAGCCAATCTAGCATCTTATAAATTAATGATAACACAAGGGATTAACAAATAGATTAGTTACCTTTTAATTAGGCGATCAGATGGAACTTGTCAATTTTATATCAACTTTATCATTACTCTTGTAGGTTAGTTATCTTTTGACAAGGTGATCAAGTGGAATTTGCTAGCTTTTTTATCAACTTTATCATTACACTTATCATTACTCTCATGACATTTTTAAAGTCACACTTAGCCAATCTAGCATCTTATAAATTAATGATAACACAAAAGAATGGTTCACCTTTAGGATCAAATCAATGAAAATCAGTTAAAATATTAACGAGATGGCCTTTTCTTAGTTTCAAATTTCTTTTTATAGTTCACATTATTAGCGTTTAATTAAAATAAATTTTAATTAGATTGAAATTACCAATCGGATATTATATGCTAAATGAATAATTTATGTTGGAGTTATTTATAGCATAGTTAATATTTTGTTTTTGCAAACTTTTCATATGAAACAAATAAACCTAAAAATAATTTTTCAATTATAGTTAAAGAAATTTTGAATTAAATTAAGATATACTATTTTTAGTGATAATTAGGAAAGAAGAGAATAAGATTAAAATGCTCAAAGAATTTAGCATTTGCAGGAAACCTGATCAAATTCCTATCTTTAGCTCTAATGGACATTTTCGTTCGGATGCTGATCCACCACTACTGGAAAAATACAATGTTGCACCATCCAGAGGATCACCACCAGTAACATATATACGTGAACATACATATCGAGTTACAAGTGCTTAATTGATGATTAACAATCAAATTATAGCTATATTATTTCAATGAATCATTCCCAATAAATAATAACAAATTTATGATGGCATGGCATTCCTCGTTGAATCAGTTAGAAATTGAAATTTATTTAATCCATTCTACCTGTTTGTAAAATACGAAATAGAATTTCAAATATGTTGCAAAATATATTTTATGCTAATTACATCCTACTCATTCTACCTGTTTGTATAATACAAAGTAGAATTTCAAATATGTTGCAAAATATATTTTAGTACTTAATTACATCTTACCTATTCTACCTGTTTGTAAAATACAAAATAGAATTTCAAATATGTTGCAAAATATATTTTGTACTTAATTACATCTTACGGATTATTATTTTAACAAAAATTTTTTTTGCCAATTTAATTACGCTCAGTTTGATAATTGTAAATTAATTAGTAAATCTGTCTTCAATTCGATTTCATTAATTAATATCATTCATTAAATTTTAATCCATTTTTTACTCATCAATGTTATTGTTATTATTATTATTATTATTATTATAATGCTCATATTGTATACAATTCAAATTTCATTTTCATTTTTTCATATTTTTTAATTTTTGATAATATTTTATTAATTATTTAATTTTATTTGTTTTTACAAAAATTGTTTTGGTAAAATTTGAAATTAATTAAGAATTATTAATTATTCCATATATTGAAGAGAAATAAGCCTAAAGTAAGGTGATCGATCAAATTTCAATCAAATTTAAACGATAACATAGCGGCGCTTGTTTCAATCAAATTAGCTTAGGCTTATTTTTTTTAAACGATAACATAAAGCGGCGCTTTTGTCTCTTACTGCTATTTACAGATTTTCTTTCGTCATATGTAATTACTAAAAGCTTCTTATTGATAAATGACTGTCAATATTATTCATTAAATGCTAAATAGGATAGCCATGCATCCATTTTCTCTACTCATATCGATCTCTTCTAATAATTCCTAAAATATTTTCTTCCATCTTTTTATTTTTTTTTTTGCTTTGCAAAAATTTTGAAAAATTTTGATTTGAGAGAAAATTATTTGCGAAATTTTTTCATTTATTCCGACATTCACTTTTGATGTTATTTTAGATGAAAAATTTTTCGTTTAATTTAATTTTTTAATTATTTTTAATTTTGTGATAATTTTCTCTTTTCATTTTGTAATATTCAAATATTGGTGCTTTTCATTCATTCTTTTTCACGATGAATTTAATTTCTTTTTATCTATAGAATTAATGAATTCATTTGATATTTCAATTTTTTTTTACAGTACACAACAACAACAACAACAACAACAACAAGCAACAAAATATTTCTTTTCTTTTACAGTAAACAACAACAACAAGCAACAAAATATTCTCTTTCTTTTACAATAAACAACAACAACAACAAACAACAAAATATTCTTTTTCTTTTACAATGCGAAATATTCCTTTTCTTTAACAGTAAACAACAACGACAACAACGAACAAAATATTCTTTTTCTTTTACAGCAAACAACAACAACAACAACAACAACAAACAACAAAATATTCCTTTTCTTTTACAATAAACAACAACAAGCAACAAAACCTTTTTCTTTTACAGTAAACAACAACAACGACAGCAAGCAACAAAATATTCTTTTTCATTTTGCAGTACACAATAACAGCAATAAATAACAAAATATTCATCGCCTTTTACAATAAGCAACAACAGCAACAATAAACAGCAAAATATTCCTATTCTTTTACACTAAACAACAACAACAATGATAAACAAAACGTTCCTTTTCTTTTACAATAAACAACAACAACAACAAACAATAAACACCAGAATATTCCTTTTCTATTACAGTAAACAACAGCAACAACAACACATTTCTTTTCTTTACCAATAAACAACAACAATAAACAGGAAAAAGAAATCAATTCTTTATTTATCGTTTATCATTTTTCTGCAAAAATTTGCAAGCATTTGCTTAATTTTAATTGAAATTTCAACAACGACTATTTTTTCTTCATTGAAAGTATCGATTGATTGATTATTGCAAAGAGAAGAAATATTATCAAAATGTTTGAAAGCGCCTTTAATATTGGATATTTGAATTGGACTATATGCGCGTATCATTTGTTTATCGAATTAAAAATAAGCGATGAAAATTTTATTAAATTCATTTTTTTGAGCATTTCAAATTACATTAAAGTTTTTGATGTTATTATAAGCGTAAAAAATTAGTCATTGCTAAAAGCGCTTTTTTTTCGTTAAAATTTTTGCGCATATATGTTATGTTAGCCATTTTAGCTTTATGCTAATGTATTATTTAAATTTGATCAATTATATTAGTACGGTTAGATAAACAAATTTTCATAAGGGAAATGCTATGAATCGTTTAAAAAAAATTTTTTATGCTAACAAAATTGTTTGAAATAGAATACAAAATGAATTAAAAAGTATGAGAGAGAGAGAGAAAGAGAGAGAAATAATTTGAAATGAAATTCGAAGTGATTAGAAATGTAGAAGAGAGAGGAAGAATTAAATATTAGAGAGAGAGAGAGAAATAATTTGAAATAAAATACGAAATGATTAGAAAATATAAGAGGAAGAGAGAGGAAGAGAAATAATTTGAAATGAAATTCGAAATGATTGGAAATGTAAAAGAGAGAGTGAGTAGGAGAGAGAACAAATTAAATATTAAATAAATTTTTACTAATATTTTTTGAAATTTTATTTCTGAAATTTAAATTAAGCAAAAATGGAATTTGAAATTTCCTCTCTTTCCCTTTCTCTCTCTCTTTCTCTCTTAATTCACATCTATTTTTTCATATCAGTAAATAGTTTTGATATTATTTCACTATTTTTGATCGAATCTCTCGCGGGATTTTGTTTAATTATTAAAAGCACAAATTTTCCATCATATATTGATTTGATATTAGTATAAAAGGGTTGTTATCATTGCCATAAGTTTTCAAGTAATTTGAAATTTAAACTTTGACAAAATTTTTACAATTGTTTCAATATTCAATTACTTAGATTTCAAACTTTTGAATTATTTTTTTTTTGTTTCAAGATGATAATAATAATTATCAGTTGAACAGATAAATTTATTAAAAAACCCTCATGAAATATTTCAATCTTATTCTTCAAATGTAAAATGCTCGAACTTTTTTAATCAATCTGTTGATTGTAAATGATAAATTTGAAAATGATAAAAATTGTTTGCTATTAAAAATTTGAATTGTTTTTATTTCCATTTGCAATTAACTAATTTTGCTGGTGTAAGTGATAAATTTTAATCATTCTGTTGATTGTAAATGATAAATTTGAAGATGATAAAGTTGTTTATAATTAAAAATTTGAATTGTTTTTATTTACATTTAAAATTTTATGCTTACATACATAAACATGCATATATTATATTAAATTTTATTATCTGTGTTTTGATTTATCAAATTGTGAACATTATTCATTTTCTCTATTTATCATTTAAAAATTAAAAAAATGGGGAAATTGATATTTTCATAGTGACGCAAATTGACGTAAATTTTAGTATAAAATTTATTTTAGTTCAAAAATTCAAAAAATTCTTTCAGGAAATTTTTTGATGAAATGAAGCATAATCTTTCAATTTATGATTTCTGATGAAAAAATTTTAAAGTGTTTTGTTTACAACTAAAATTCAGCACTATTACGATGGCTAAAAGTGTCAATTACTTCCACTTAACTTAACTACACTTTCTTTTTTCCAATCAAATCAAATTTATGAAAAATTAATGAAAAAAGAAAGAAATGAAAGAGTAAAATTTAGCTGTCAATAATTTGGTTACATTTAATTGCTTTAAATATAACAGAATTCATCGAAACTTTTGATATGATAATTTTATTCAATCATAATTTGTAAATAATTTTAATCTATAAAAATAGCTTAAGAACGAAGAGCTATGCATTAATTACTAATAGTTTAAAAAAACAAATAAACAAATAGAATTTCATGAGGAGAGTATAGCTTCATTTGAAGAGTTTTTGATAACTTTGAATTTTGGAGAAAATTTTTCAAACAATCTGATTAATAGTGATAATTATGATATAACATTCAAACAGACTACAATTATTGTTAGCAATATTATTGCTATAATATTAGTATTGTTATCACAGTTATCATTATCATCATATTTACTGCGTTGTTATTGTAGCGATTACTCATTATTATTACTATTATTTATTGTATTATTATTATTATCATAATTATATTTATCACATTCTTTTTTTATATTAATTTATATATTATATTATTATCACTATCATTTATCATTATCGTTAACAACATTATTATTATATTAGTGTTATTATCATAATTATCACTATCAACACAATATATCACATTCATTTTTTATATTATATTGACAACTTATCAATACGAATATCAAAAGTTATCATTCTGAATTGATAAAAATTTTAGCTGGTACCATTTTTTTTCATTATATAGTAATAAAATAATTAGATTATTCAAAATTCAAAATAATCAATGTTTTATTTTTAGAATTTCATTATTTCTATCGCATTAATGAATGGACATAAGCTTTCTTTCTTTCATTCTCTAATGATATATATATATATATATGTTTTTCTTCGTGCTTTCGTTCTCTTTTTTTCTTTTCCTCCTATTTTTCTTATATTTTTTTAAAATTCAATTAATTGAAAACAATAACTTTTCAAAAAAAAAAAAATTAAATTTCATTCCTTTAAATTATTATTTATTCTTAATTATTTATTATTTATTCTTAAAATTTATTATTATTTATTCTTATTATTTATTAAAGGAATGAAATTTAATTTTTATTCTTAAAATAATTTTTATTTATTCTTAAAATTTATTATTTATTCTTAAAATAATTTTTTTACCATTTTAATTTTCTTTGTTATATTGTTTTAATTTATTGTTTATTGTTTTAATATTTTTTTTAAAAATTAAATATCAATTCCTTTAAATTATTATTTA